CAACGCTACATCGTCGATCTCAGCATCAAAAATTTACCCAAGCCTACGGCGAATATTCGGACATCAATATCATGGTTGCCCCTCATTCTGAGGGAGGTGGGGTCGGGGCGCCGCCGTCCTGATCAGCGAGATGGGCGGCTTCATCAGCTTGCTGCTGGACGTTTCCGTACTGCCTCTGACAGATCTGCTGACACCGGTCTCGCTGGCGCCGAGCTGGCCTCAGACTGAGAGCTGGGAGCGGTCTAACAGGCAAGGTCATTGAGGTGCTTCGGTAGCCCATTCCTACGTCATAGTGACCTTTCGTGACCTTTGACAAAAGGGCACCATTACACACGCGGTGAGCTTCCGCAACGGCTGACGAAATGAGCGACACATGCAGAGCTGTGAGGCGCCAGCATGTGGATGTGCACACAAACGGAATCCCGGGTCGATCTTTCCACTTCACGTAGCTAAGACAGTAGTATTAGCCTTATTCCTCAGAGGAGAAACAGGAGAATGGAGATATAGTTGAGTTGATATTTCGGCAACATGCCTCGCTAATGCACTGAGCAACTTACGTAATTTCCACCTCACAAAAGACAGAGTCTTAGTCCCGGTTCCTTACCTTCCATCCACGGTTCAAGTTCATACGGCTCCGCAGCAGCTGAAGTCCCGTGACAGTTCGCAGCCTTGGATTTGAACCCAAGTCCGAGTCGGTCCGTTCCACGTCACCTGAGTCCGAGCTAAACCCGGACTCGCATAGTCCATGTGATCTGTGACAACTCTAGAAGTTCCTTACGAGGCCCAACTGGCAGATATTTTCAGGCTTGATGATTGACAGGAACATTGATAGTGAGGGATATGGGCAGCAAGTAGAAGTGAAAACCCCAGCACCTAATCGCTCAAACTAAAATAATTAGCCAACCCACTAAGCCACGGACGCTGCATTGGTTCAGAGTGGGGTCTTGGGGTGCAAAAAGCCCTGAGCGGGTCAGTTATTTCCTCATATACTGCACCTATCTTCCGATCAGAATCCTTTGTTTCTGAAATGTTTTGGTGTGATTATGACTTAGACCAACCCAGGCTGGAGTTCAAGCCAATGTAATCCGGATGTGAATCCACTGCTCTTCAGCTTGATAACTTAAAGCATGAATGTTATCCAAATTTACAGCGGATCAGTTCGCTTGAATCATGAGTCCCAAAGAGTGTCCGGAATCCGCGCCGATTCCGGCCTGACTCCGACTGCTGCGCGACAGCCCATCGGACTCACACGCGCACATCGAACTGTACACCGAACCACAGAGCCACAGAGCGCACACCGAACTGTACACCGAACCACAGAGCGCACACCGAATTGTACACCGAGCCACAGAGCGCACACCGAACTGTTCTCCGAATCACAGAGCGCACACCGAACTGTGCACCAAACCACAGAGCGCACACCGAACTGTGCACCAAACCACAGAGCGCACACCGAACTGCACGCAGAACCACAGCGCACGACACAACATATACGCGGCACATCAGGCGGAGGGGGCTGCAGTGCCAGACACGAGACCAGTGCCCTGGTACGTCTGCAGGCCGGAAGTCAATTACAATGGTGCGCGAAATATGCTGGAAAAGAAACCGGATCTAAAGTGCACTAAATCAACGCCGAGTAAACGTGGAGAGAGCCATAAATAATACCACAGTAAGGGCAGGAATGAGGTCAAGTTCAATGGAGCTATGACTACCTCAACGAAAAACCCCTTTTACTTTTTGTTTTATAAGGTTCATAAGGAAGAAGTAAGCGCTTTACTTGTTGCTTCATCAAAATTGTGTTTGCTGTGACGCATTTATGAGTGTTGTGAACTTTATGAACATTTAGAAGCGAGCCACGGCTGTGGCTCCCGTAGCTATTGTGACATTATAGTTCAGAACAATCCCCCATCGGTGTTCTTGCTGAGCATCGTGATGAACCATCCCGATGACATAGAGAAGTTAATTGTTCTTGTATTTATCGTTGCATGCCAAAAGAAACCGACGTGTAATGAGTAGCATTCAGTCAGAAGGGACTTTAATCGAGTTCTTAAGCTGAGTGAAGCGTTAATTAATTTATTTGAATACTTACATTTCACGGATGCGTTTGGCTGGGCACATAACCACGCAGATGATATTGTGCTTGTGGTTACATAACCTTGATGCCACTTAGGGTTGTCCTCACGTAATGATGTATTTGAATGTTCTTATGAAATGATTGACAAGAAGCCTGGTGCTATTTCCTGTTCCTGCTTCCGGTGGCTGGGCCTTGCCGACTCCAGCGATGGTTACGCTCCTGCTCCAAAGTAAAAGCTTGTGGCGTCCTTAACACAGGTGCAGAGTTGTCTCCGCAGTGCGCAGTTAACATAACCACGTACATTATAATCTTCAGATGGTTTTGCCTCGTTATTTCACGTCAATGGATTAGCAAAAAGTGTTCTCGAATTCCAAAACCACTTCTCTGTTGCCTTATCTGTCTCGTCTATGCTTTCTTGTTGTTTTGATGCGGATATCGCAGACGTGATGTGATGCTGCTTGCTCCTACAGCGGTGTTTTTGTAGCTTAGTTGGGTTATGTGATATCACAGTACGAACAACACCCGTTGCCTACTTCTTCGCAGTGCGCAAGCCTTCCGTTACGCTCGAGTGTTGTGCGTATCAAGTCTTGTGTTGATAAGGTTTTTTAATGTTTTAAAGCAAGGTTTTGTCATTTGAACCACTTGCCACTTGACCATCAGCTGCAAACTAAAGGACGGAGTTCGTGGTAATACCATCGGTTCGTGTGGCGCATTATGTTGGAGCGTTCCAATCTGAAACACCACTGTAATGGAACATTACGTACAATGGAAGACCCCGAATGTCCCATTAACAATGGGAACATCTGCTAAGGTGATATGATTGTTTAGACGCATGGTGCGATGATAAGGCTGCAGCCACGGATGTTGACTTGTATTCTTGTACCGGGGCCCAGACCCCCTCCCAATGTCGGCCCGGGCCATCCAGCATTTTTGGCTGGAATATTACAAACGTAGGCAAAATTGAGTATCACACATGGATTATCATCTTTGGACATTGTTAACTGGCCATGACAACATGGGCGAACCTAAGCATGTTCGCTGGTATGGGCGGCTTCTAACTATGACTGGTTATCATTTAAAACGCCATGCAATCCCCAGCTTTAGCTTTTGTCACATCACACTACAAACCGAATGCTGAACATGTTAATGATGTTCCAAACATAGGCATTGCGCGCATAATGGGAGGTCAAAGTGATGTATCGCTGTTTCAAAACCTGCTCACTGTCGGCTACTGCCCCAGACTTGGTCAAATCAAGTTTACCAACAAATCCCTTTCGCCCTGATCCGCCACTTTCCATAACGGGGACTGATGGAGGTCGAAGTACTCCCTCCGCGCTGTTTCTTAAGTAAGAAAGATAGAGTCTAGCGTAATTCACCACTGGATTTGTTTCAACGGGATATTGAGGATGGTTATAAGTTGTATGTTGCTTGGTCAGTATTTGTCCCATTATGCCTGATGAAGTGTTCAATTTTCCTAAAACTCAAACCTTTCAGGTTCGCATGTTCATGTACGAAGCCGTGCGTCCTAGCCACACGAAACTCAACCAGGGGTGTTTCCTGCTCGATTAGGACAGTGGTATCATGTTGTGTGTTTTGGAGATATATTATGACGCATAGCTCCGTTTATGTCACAAATGTCGCCCGTCGCCACGGCCCGTGGCGTCGTCGGCGGCAACACCCCGCGCCGGCCGTAGATCATCCTGCGCCGCAAAAACGCGTGCTGCTTCGAAACGATGAATGATACGCTTCATGGGCACGTTTTTCGGGTGTTAAAACATGCGCAATGAATGCCCTATAGGCTACTGAAAGTTTGGGCGTGACTGAATAACATGTCGGAGAGATGTTCTCAGAAAACCTTGAGGGGTCGTATGCACCTAACAGGGCAAAAGCTAACAGTTAAGTAAGTTTACGCATTTCAAAAGAACACATTAATTCGGTTTGCTTCGTGGCTGACTACTTCCCTCATTTTGAGCACCATTTATCAGTATTCCACACGAGGTAAACAAGATGCTGTGTTCTAAACGCGCGGGACATGAGACAGAATGTAGCCGTTCTCCTGCATGAACTGTGCAAAAATAACTCTGGGTCCAGCAGCTAACTCCAGTGCTGGGTCCCGCTTAGCAATGTGAAGGCGTATGCTGGCATTGCTTGTATGGTATGGATGATATCACATTGCGTAGGTCATGGCATTATTGAAAAATTTGATGATTTCAAGCGGAACCAAATGTGTGCTTACTGTATGCTAACCTTTAGGTTTGTGAATTGGACTCACTTTGATGAGCCTGGAAATTAACCAGATGACAGGAGTAACTGAGAAATAAGATAGGCATAAATTGGTGATTTGATTTGCCGTCGCGAGTTTTCTCCAGGTAGGAGTAGAGCTAATAACATAATGGTTGCCAGTGTTTACGCATCTCCAGTTGATATTTTTCCAGTCTGCGTCATTTCATAAAGGTATGCTTTGATAACACAGCATTGCTTTTTTCCGGTGTTCTATACCACTTCTTGTGGCTTGGAGCTGTTTACTGTGGTCGGATGAAGGAGATGGGTGAACTTGCTGGCGGTGTCATTCGCGGCCTGTTTTGAACTTGACTAACGCCTTACTGTCCGGTATGTCCGGTCTGTTTGACATAATACGGTCCGCTGTCGCCTGCGATGCGTATGATGATTGTGCACATTCGTTTTATTTGTCTTGACGCAAGCTATTTGCCGTTGGTGGCGAAGACGACTAGTTTGCTTATATCCGCCGTCAGTTGACTCGACAATGTCTGTTGTTTGCAGGTGGTGAAAGATGATGATAGTGCTGGTGGTGATATTTGCCGTCTGCTGGCTACCATACCAGGTGTACTTCCTGGTGATCCCTGCCTTTCCGGAGCTCACTCAGCAGCCCATCGTCCAGGAGGTGTTCCTCGGTGCGTACGCCACACAGGGGCATCACTATACTCCACACAGGGGCATCACTATACTCCACACAGAAGGATCACTATAATCCATGCCGGAGCATCACTATATTCCACACAGAAGAATCACTTTATTCCACACAGAATCATGACTATACTCCGTACATGACCACCACTATACTCCACAAAGAAGAATCACTATACTCCACACAGGAGCATCACTACACTCCACACAGAAGAATCACTTCACTCCGCACAGAATCATCACTATACTCCATACATGACCACCACTATACTCCACAAAGAAGAATCACTATACTCCACACAGGAGCATTACTATACTCAAGATAGGAGAAACGACCGGCACGGCCGTCATATCCCCATAATTGCATTCCACACACACACCCTCACGGCTGTGCGCCCACTCGCAAGGCTACGTTGTGGTTTGTTGCTGTGCTGGCGTCTGGACACTGGAGCGTGTCTGGGAGTGTGTCTGGAACCTACCAACCAGGTCTGGGACCGTGTCTGGAATTAGCGACCAGGTCTGGAGCGTGTCTGTGAACTAGCGACCAGGTCCGGGACCGCGTCTGGAAGGCAGCGACCAGGTCCGGGACCGTGTCTGGAAGGCAGCGACCAGGCCCGGAGGGCGTCTGGGAGCCAGCGACCAGATCTGGAAGCTGGGACAGGGTCTAGCCTTTTCAATCAATTAAATCAGTCTGGTGGCCGCTACCAGACTGGCAACCGTTTCAGGGTGCGTGGTCTCGGGTAGGGCTTGGGGACTGGAACAGAGTCCGTAAGCTGGATCAGCGCCTGGTGGCTGTGACAGAGCTGCAAGCAGCCAATTATGTTGGACGACAAATGCATGGCGATTTTCAGTACGGTGTAATTTGCGACTCCCCAAGGTCGGCAGCGAAACGGAAATATCGCCCCCAGGCATGACAAAACTGGAGAGACGTTCATTGTACTCAGTTGTAACCCCTAAGCCAAACTCAGCACGTTGGAATCAGAGATGAAACCAATTACGAGTCCACTTGTTTGTTGTCTCTGTTCTGCGTTCTTTCCCGCCCATATTCGATGTATTATTGGTAGCGCTGCCTTAAAGGGGTTTCCCATCTTTAAGTCATATTTCGAAAACATTCGCTGCGAAAAACTCGGGGCAAGATAAGTCTAATGATAACACTTGTCACTTCCATTGCAGCACAATCAAGATATAATGAGAAGGTTTCCTTTGATTATGTTTTATTCTTAATTTCACTGTCAACATTTTACCACAGCACTACATTTCTTCTTTTCTTGGCGACTCCCCTTGTGAGTTGTTTCCACCTGCACATTGAGGACTTGGGGGCTCAAAATTGGTATATCTACCAACATGGATGATGTTAGTGCAAACAAACTGTTTTAATTGCCACAGCGGGCTACGAAGATCGTTGGTCAGGGAGCGCACTGGATGAAGTTGGATTCAGTCTGTCACTGTAGGCCATGTGACACTCCCAAAACCAAACTGCGCTTCGAAAACAACCACTGTGCTTAACCATTGCACTGATTTGCCGTTTTCCATAACGCGGGCTGAAAGGCGGTTGATGCGTCCCCTCTCCCTCTGATGTTACCAAAGTATTGTTGTCACCATGAAAAAGACCTTGGCGAAACGACCAGTGGGTTTGTTTTAACAAGATCTCATGATTTCTACTAGCTTTATGCAGTTAGGTCAATAATTGACTCCATCGTTGTCAGGCCGAGGGTTGAATTTGTCAGGAAATTGGTTTCTTTCAGCCTTATCTCATATCTCCGAGGCAATATCTTGTGGATATATGCAACTTAAACAGACATGTTCGTTGTTCAGTTATTAGTGCAATGGCTTATTCTTTTGTGTTTTTAGCATACATTTATCACATATGTCTCCACAAATGCAATTATGTCGGCACACAGCGTGCGTTCCTCGGCATCGTCGGTTGCGACCCACTGCTCGCGCCGGGCGTCGATCGCTGTGCAGTGTTCCTCAAAAACCGCCGCTGCTCCGAAATCAGAAAATCTCGGAGCACGTTTTGGGTGTCAAAGCACGCGCAATGGATGCCTCATGGATTACTGAATACTTGGGTGCAATTACACATAGCACCAGAGAGGTATTCTAAAAAGGCTTAGGGAGTTGCATCAACACCTGCCATATCAGGGTGAGAGATAGCGCCGTACGGAAAAATCAGCGGCATACTGCAACGTTTCGTTGAATTCTCTGATAATCCCTTCAGATTTGGATGCATTTCGCATAATAAGTGTTTCAAGCCTTCGTAGCACTTATTACGCATATATTTTGACGAGTTAGTGCATTGCAAATATTACACAGCACACATGCTGGAAAAATCTGGACACCTTGAAAATATTACTTTCATAGTGATGAGCAGGGAGTCCAACGAGATTTTCCGCCGGAGTGCTTACTTGGAATAATAATTATGGGCTGTTAACAAGGATTTCGAGAAAACTTGTATTGCGATCAAGTTATACGCGTTTGATTTTACAATACGTGGGCGAACAAAGGGGTAGCATAATTTTTTTGACAACATGAAGTTTTACTTGCCTGAGCTACAAACGTCCAGCAATATGTCTAACAAAGAGTGCTTTCTTTTGTGCCCGAATAAATCTGGCCTGGCAAAGCGTCTGCTGTAAACAGTGGCTCTACATTTTTCGGGCCAAGGACTATAAGTTCCGGGACATTACATTTGCATGCATTACGTATTTGAGCTAGGTATCATTGAAAACGGCATCATATTTTGTTTTACGGCTTGGAGCAAGATCTTAGGGAAAGCGTTATGCATGGAGAGCGTGTGGAATGGTGGAGGTGAATTTCAAGCCTTTGGCCGGCCTCCACAAATAACAACAGCAGTCGTCGGACTGGACTGCACGTAACATTGGAAGTAAATGCGCCTGAACGGGTTGTGGGAATGCACTGGGGGAATTGACTAAAGGAGTTTTGTTCAGTGACGCTCTTTTAAAGTAGCCTCACTGTGGTGAACCAGCCCATGGTTCATTTAAAATACAAGCATTTGTGGGATGATGTGGGGAGCCATGTACAAAA